GAATTGACAAAAGTACAAATTAGCTGTCTTACTCAAGTTAATTACTTTAATCGATTTTATCCGCTTCAGATATAAAAAAAGCTGAAATTATCACTTTCGAGAACGGAGCCAATTTGGGAGGTAGAAATAAGAGAGATGGCAGCGAACGCAGACAGAGATGTCTTTCACTATTTGCGAGAGTTTCTATCTTTGGAAGGAATGTATGAGGAATATAAATAGATGGAGCAGTTAAAAAATTCACATAAAATCAGCTAAGTGAAACAGAAGAAAACAATATAACGAAAAACGGATAAAAAATGTGAATTTCTCTTCCATAGGTGGCACTGCAGAGAGGGAGAGAAATTTGTGTCTTTTGAGGAGTTTTGTGAGAGACTTTTGCAGTAAATCCAAAGCTTGCGGAGAAAATGAAGAAAAATAGAAAACTAAAATTTCACACGAGAAATTTGGAAAATCACCTAAACTTTATTATAGTCACAATGATGAGACGGTTCAGTAGAAAAGTCAGAGAATGAAAATAATTACTCTGGAGTTGATACAGCTCCCAAGCAGGGACTTTGCAACTGATACACCTATGCGCCTCCTAGTGACCTTCAACGTCTCGCTTCGCCTTTTCTTCCACTCTCTTCTGCTTCGCTTCAATGCAATCAGAGTATTATAAAACTTACGGAATAAAAATAGAAAATATTGTTCGTTTTACTTTTAGATTTTTAGGCATTTTGAGCTAATATTCAGATCCCTCTTTTCAATTCACTTAAACAAAGAAAGTGAATTTAAAATCTTCACAGTTAAAAGCAAATTTCACTGAAATTCATACATAATAATATTTTTCATCTACTAGGATAAATGGTTTCTATTTCACAGCCCCCACTTATTTCATAATCTTGTTGGTTTATTGGGTGACGATACAGGAAACAGTTAGAAAAACTCTGTAGCCAACTTCCAATCAGATTCTGAGAAATGAGTTAATCTTCTCACTCTCATCAATAAGGTAATATTTGCTAAGTTTCCACGCACATTTTAAATGCTGCACAATTTCTTACTAGCACGAGGTTTATCTTCTTACAATTGAAAAATTCAAATGGCAGGTGTTAAGATAGTCATTATTAGCCCTTTAGATGACTATGGGCTTTCCAGAGGGAAGCAGCATCAAGGTCATAACAATTCAAGAAGGGGAGCAGAAGAGTGATTCACAGATGTAAAAGAGACAGACAGGCACAAAGGTAGAAATAAAGGTAAGGTGAATACTGTGGAAGTTGTGGAATATGATATGCAGTCGGCACATAGGCCGTTTAGCCGTATGAGAATGTTGCCCAGGGTGCAACACATGGAGGTAAGTCTATCGTATACTCCCAATCGAAAAAGGTGTGTGTTGCATTCACGTGACCTGTACTTTGGTAATACGTGAAATGATCGATTAAGATAGGTATAATAGGAGTGTGATGGCCACAGGTGCACGTAAACATAGGACCATAGCAGCAATGAAACGGTTGCTGTTGGAGGAGATACGATTAAGCATGCATGTGTCTAAGAGCTACTGCTAAGTTGTGTCCGTTCCCCCCCCCCCNCCCCTCCCCCCGACCGGTCCTGCTCAGAAAATCCCAAGCCTACATCCGAGCGGTCCTGATTGGTAACGTCAATAGAGCAGCAACAGAGTGGATGGTAACAGCGAACAGAGGTTCAGGGCAGAATGGCAAGTCAGTCCTGCTGCTCTGCATTTTCTATTAGTTTCCTAACAAGTGTTAGTCACCCTCTCTGTCAAACAATTTGTTGATCAACGTCCAGTGACCATTCACAATAGTTATTTGCATAGTAAGCCAATGTACTTCTTCAACTGTATTTGATTAATGCAATGGGAAGTAGATTATTAAAATTATTGACTATGACATTTTAAGCACAGGAAATAGAGAGATTAATGGGATATTTGTTTAAAAAGCCAATAAGTGCTTGGTAGAACGCAAATTTTCATTTCAATAGAACATTGGAAGTACAGTTTGATGTGATTGGCTCTCAGGAACCTTATCTACACGATGTATTTGAAGCCTTGTGTTAACCAAAAGCACTCAAAGGAATTTTCGCTTAATGCACTTAAGTGCATAGAAGGATAATGCGGAGCTAACAGAGTTACCATAAAGAGTGGTCTAGGACGAGAAAGCAATGCCCTCCAACACCATCTATTTCGTCACCCCAACCCAATGTCATTATTTAGAAAACGAAAATCTCTGCAATTATAAATGGAAAGTTTATAACCCCACTCGTATTTCGAATTTCTGGAAGGCGTAAATGTCCTGGCCAGCTTAGCCTAGAATGTGGAAACACTGTAATAAATTTGCTCAGAGACCGACAAATGAAATAGCAAAATTTCCTTAAAGAGATAGAAATTGAAAGTTGTTGGCTAGATAGGATTAGCCAATGAGCATCTTCTGCAGTAATGACTGATTACTTTGTAGAATTGGGAGAATCATCACGATTGCATGCATGGTTAAACAGTCACCGGTTAGGTAACAGTTTTAAGTTAATTGTGAAGGGGGCGTAATTGGCGCCAATTGTGCGCCTAACCAATCTATTAAAGAATGTAAATAGATAGTTGTCAGGACCCGCCATTTAAAAATTTAGTTTAACGAATATTGCGACCTGTTCTTCACTGAAGGATACCGTAATCAAGGCATAATTTCCCATAAGAAATTGCACTACTTAAAATCTTTCATAGGAGAACTATTTTAGGAAGATCATTTTTTAATAACTGGCGCGATCGCTAATGTCTTACGCTGAATAAAAGTAATGTAATTAAACATCTCAAAGGATATAATTTCCTAAGCACAATTTCTTTGCGATGAAAATATCGTTATGGATGCTTTATGCCAAATAAGAGAGAACACTGTCCAGCAACAGTATTAGCCCTTCATGGTACCAATCTTGGATCTTGGTTGTCTAAAATCCTTTCCAAGATTGCTCGATTGCCGTCTTCATTTCTCTGAAATTAAGAAGATTGAGGACGGGTTGAATAAGTCTTTTTCGATGAGGTCGTAAAGAGATTTTGCTTCGTGCCCTAAACTTTGAACTATTTCAATGCTGAAAGCAGGCGTCAAAGTAAAGATCGACACCTTAGGTACTTATAAAAAAGTGCAAGGAGATGCATATACATTGAAGGTAAATGGACGGGAACAGTATGTAAAAAGAATCTTCGGAATTAATGACTGAATATTCATTTCTCCCCACCCTACCCCAGCCTATCACGAGTATAAAAAAAATTGAAATCTAAATTTTCTGAGCATTTAGCAATGAAGATGAAACATCGCAGTCACTGTTTGAGGGCTGCTGAGCCGTGTTAGCTCAAAGCCCACCAGTTACTACTCACCTACACTACGGGAAAAGGCTTGCTGGTTGGAGCTTTATTGAGGGAAAAAAGAAGGCGCAGAAAGTGATGTGAGAGATGCATAGACCGTATATGAGAGCAAAATGTAGCGGCATTGGCGAGTGCATACGTGGTCGTTTATACAAGGGGGAAGTTCGAGAAAAATAATAAACAGATGTAAGCCGAGGTATACCAAAAATCATGCAAGAATTCAGGATATATCAATGTACCGAGACCTCCCCAGTTTATTATTGCAAAGGAGGAACTCTGCGGTCATCTTCCTATTGTTCTGCCAATGCCAACAAGTGGAACGATGTATTCCAACAGATCTGAGGTTGGGCATAAACAAAGCTCGCCTAGTTACAAGCTTCAACGTTTATCCCGTTCATTTTATTCAACATTTTCTCCTCTGAACCCATTCCTCACCAGTGACTTACTCATCTGGCCAGTAATATACAACAGAGAATGTTAGTTAAAGATAGAAGTGAAATTCATAATAATAATAACGACGAGGTCTAAGTATCTTGGAACTACTAAAAGGTAATCTATCTTGTTGTTCTTTGTATTAACCACAATAACCTAGTAAATTGAAGTGAGCGACTAGAAATATCAAGCAATTTAGAACCCAGATGTCAGTAAATTCAAGTATTGCTTTTACTGAATAAACATCACAATTTCATCGAATATCTGCCTTCATGTAGATTTTCTCAATGAAAATTCGAAGGATAGGTCAGGTAAATATTCAAAAAAAACTGAACTCCTTAAAATTCGAGTACTCGCGATATCCTTCGGGTCAACATTTTATGGATAATTAAACAGCCCAAAGCAACTCCACCCTCGTAAAATTGATTTTAGCCTCTGTCGAAAGGGAAAGAATTCAATGTTCTTCGCCTCCTTTACAAATCGTAAAAGTTTTAGTTAACTAACATTCCTTAATTATTTAAAAGGTGCAATACGCAAGTTGTGCGACGTTCCCTTGCTATTTTTGAAAATGTACGTAGTGACCAGTACTAAATTTAAGGAAGCAAGGTTCCGGCTACTTCATGTATCAGTCTCCAAATCTAGTGGTCTTCCTGTTCCCCATCTCCAATTAGTCTACACAAATGTAACTGTTGAATCCAAGCAACGTGCTTTTGCAACCAACAATGACTAGTTAGTCCCTTGACGCTTCCTATTTGAACTGATAACCATCCGGTTGCCAGCGCTTAAATATGCCCCAATACTGAACGCTATTTCAGCCACATTTGAGCTATGTTATTGCATTTACTTCATGCTCCAATATATGGAAGCCATTGTATTATCTCGATATAAGCTATCAATAGACTTTCACACGTATAGCATTACTATTTTTGACAAATTAAACAGTACCTTATTAACAATCATGGTTACGTTTGGGTAATTAAATATGCCCTAGGAATACACGTAAATATAATCAGAATAATTAGAAGAAACTTCACTAGATATGTAAAAGTACGTTTTAGATTAAAACCTTTTTTCCTTTCAGCAAACAACGCGGAACATATAAAATCCAAATGCAAGAACTCATATTGCTAAAAATTCAACCACATAAAGTTCAATAGCAACCACTTATAGTATCAATATTCATAATACTTGATAGTAAAAAAGGAAATAAAAGCACATGCAGAAATCATGCCGACGATCCCGACTCCTGCAATTGATTCGCCCGTCGTTTGGACATGAAAACAGAGATGGCCCCATTGTCGCCCCCAGCCAATAGCGTCTCTTGAGCGTAAGACAACTGAAAGGTATAAAAGAGAGAAAGGGGGGCTATAATCTTTTCAAGGCTTCAATTTGGTGTTGAATACTCAAAGACGAATCGAGATAAAGTAAAATCTCCAACTGATGCATCATTCACGAACAAACAATTTCAGATTAGAATGGGGACCCATTAGCCCCTGGGATATATACCCATCAAAAAATTTCATTTACCGACGAGGCAAGTTGAGTAAGATTGACCTACTCTTATCATCAAATATGTCTCACTAGTCTATCTGAACAGTTCCACATAGCCACCTTAGGCCGACAATTGAGCTAATTTCTTTTCAGCAACATAACTGCAAGAGCGTGTATGACCTTCCCAGAGGCTTAATGAAATGCCAAAGAATGCCACAATATAGCAAAGTGTCCACTAGCCATACCATTTGCGAAACACGAACTCTAAAAAACTGCCGAAACCTTACCTCTCGAAATGTCAGAAAAAAAAGTCCTAGTAAAATGAGGGGGAGGGGTGTGGGAGCAGCGCATACGAAAAGAAAAAATATAAGATCTTATATCAAGATGGCAAATTTTGTGCAGATACAGGAAAAGCAAATCACGCTCTTTTTTTCATTTTCACCAAGTGCCCAATTGGTGGAATGTAATTTTAAGCGTTTCATTTCATGTACAACGGAAGCAGTGAATATGCCATAAATTAGTCACACCCACCCAAATCTACAAGAGAGATTATTATGTGCGTTAAAAATAAATGAATGGACTTTTCGCTGAATGAGGATAAAAGCATCTTTAAGTGATATTAAGGGATTGCTGTCAAAAAGTCCTAAAGATAATCAAATATGCGAGACATCGATATTACATTAAACTCAGATTGGTTATAGACAATTGAACAGTTTGGTCTACTCGTTGAATGTGACATCACATCGCATAGTATAATAGGCATAACGAGAATGTCAACATTTTGGTAAAAAAATTCGTTAACACAAAGGCATGAGAAGAAATGAGTTAATTATAATTCAACAAATAGAAACAAAGAAAGTAATGCAACTTAGCTGAGCCATCACTCCAATAATTAATCAATACGAAATGATAAAACCAAGCAAGGTCTAATTTTTGTAAGAGATTGTTTCCTTGCAAGACTGTTTTGCCACAAAATACAAGATACGATATGAGAACACTTAGAACTCTGAGTTCTGCTGGTGCATCGAGAAATAAAAAAAGTGTTTGAAAGCTTGATCAAATTGGTTCGATTACTCGGGCTACAACGCTCGTGTAATTGATTATAATTTAGTATAATTATAATCTCGATACTTGCTTCAATGGTGGTCCTACATATCTGAGTGTGATATGACCAGCTAGAAAGCCAATCATTCACCTCGCAAATAATTTTATAAAGGCAAAATTTTTCTCGATCTTAAACACCTGTTTGAGCAACAGACCATATCCCTAAGGGTCTGAGTAGTTATAATTTTGTAAATGGCAGAAAAATCTATCACTACTCCCTAGCTATACCTACCATTAATAAAGCAACGTCTGGTGTGAAATCGAAAGGATGAATATGTGTGAACAAATGATAAACGAATTTGGACATGGTCCTACTTATGAAATATTTGATGAATCTAAAAAAAAAAACAAACTTGACAGATAAGAAGGATTTTAGTTAATTCACCTGTAGCAGTCTCGGTCCTATAGCCTACGATATGAATGAGATAAACTGATCTTAAAATTTAACTGAAACACTTTCAAAAAAAGAAGATTCCTTTGATTAGTTTTTGAAGCAGGCTTTGATTCAGGTCATACACTATTTGATATTTTATACATCCGCCAAACTCAAAGGAAGTCTGCCGCGTTTTTCAACCCAAACACAATTTGAACCCAATTTGTCACAGCCTAAACACCAGCCATCAAAAAGCTTCCAGACACATAAATTCAACTCCCCACCCAGCTACCAAGCCTTCAAATTCCTCGTACAAACCACTTAACAGCACACGTCTGATTGCAAATAATTCCATTGGGCTGGTCGACTTATTTTGAAATCATGCACTCACTACCTACCTAGAATATTGAATATATAAATGGAACTTTGAATGATTTGAAGCAATTGACTAATAATCTGGTATTTCATACACCTTTCAACTCATCGGGACTTCAACCACTCCTCTTACAGCCACCAAAAACGCAAGTATAGGGTCGTAAAGTGCAAGATTGGCGAATTACTGTCATTTAACGCTTCAAGGCGTAGATTCTCAGACCATACAACCGTTCACCTCCTCCTCCATAAACATAAAAGCTATAAACCTAACGTAAAGTGGAATTCGCGCAGCAAAATCGACCCCTCTTACTCAAACCCCAAAGCGAGAGCATTTCAAAGGAATAAAACTCAAAACGTTGGGTGTTACCAAATAAAATGGTAAGAGGACGGAGTATAAAGTAAAGCGTTTAGTAAATTTAAACAGTTTATAACCAGTAAATTTAAGGAGCCTATATACAAGAAAAGTACTTTGAGTATAAAAAGTAGTGGTTAGAGAAAAAAACAGTACCAATCATACTAATTCTCATGGGTAGTTATGAAAACATTCCAAATGTCGTAACTAGGTTAGAGAGCGGCCTCTACGATGAGGAGAAACTTGAATTCTACCACCCCTTCCACTAGCCAGACTTAACTATGCGGTTAATTATTAATTCGTTAGGTGAATTCGCATACCAAATATAAAACTGCTGTTTTTACCAACCATCAATTAGTCAATGAACTCTAGACAAAGAAGCCATAAATTCATTCAGAAACTCGGAGAATATGCGAAAATTGGAGGCAGTGAAACGTATTTATTCGGGAAGGGTGCATGATTTGAATTCAAAAGAATGGTGGTGTGGGTTATTTTTTGCGCCACGATTTTATTCTCAACTTAAATTTGACCCTCTCCTTAAATCATTCGCGACGAAACTCGAAAAAATTCGATGAAATTAAAGTAATTTCATTGCAGTACCGACGTACTCGATTGGCGAAAAAAATGAATTTAAACGAGAGCGCCTTGATTTCCTCGGCGTGTACATGAAAAACGGGCTACCTTTTGAAAAAAAATGAGGATAGAGGAGAGGGCTGAGTACATTACAGAGAGAGAGAGAGAGAGAGCGAGGGAGAGAGAGAGAGAGTCAAGCTGACAAAATTAGGCAAGGCCTTCAGATTGGCGATTACTTATCTCAATAAGAACAATGATAAATGAGTATTTCGCAAACACTCCTGGATTTTATTATTGTGAGAGTAATCATCCAACTGATACTATCTCTAAGCCCAGCCCCGAGAGCAATGTGACATTCGCAGTAGTAGGGTGCTTAGAGGACCGAAAGCACTAAAAGTCGTTGTAGGTAGATATGAGCATGTGATACTAATTCAGAAGTTGGCTCTATATCACAATTATTCCACTCAGAAGGCTAAAACCCGAGGTTGCCAAAATTCACATTTCAAATGAAGACAGAGTGGACAGTTTAAACAACTTAAAAGTTAATTCTTAAAGCAGACGGAAAATTATGGATTAGCTAATAGGTGAGTAAACTTTACTTTCGCGGTCTGCACCCGTGGGTTTACAACCAGACTACTCAATTCAGGCTTCATCTGTCAAGCATCTACCAGACTCGTCTCTTTATCATATCCAAAACTCATTATTAGGACAGTGATAGGTTAAGTGGCTATATGGTAAAAAGACTAGTATGCAAATTATAATAAATAACTACAGTGACCAAAAAAGTGCCAACATAAAAAGAATCGAACCTTTACGCTATGAGCAAAATTGAAAAGTAAGCAGCAAGTATTCATATCATTGTGTCATCAAAAGCTAATTTACACGATTACAACACAACTCTACTGTCTTAAATAGTAGAGAAAATTGAAGGGAAAAACACTCGTGTCATTAAGAAAACGGAAGCTAATTAGATTGCGCAGAGAGATAATTATATTGAGAAAACATGTTCTGCCTAGATGCACAGCGTTTTTCACAGGATAAGTAGTAAGGGCAAATGGATCAGACGTGCATAAAACAAGACAGAAGAAGAATATGAAATTCCCGTCGATGATAAGCTTAGTGAAGGCCTTTAGTCCCACAAAAAAAATAATTCACTTTACTTAGAAGTACTCAGATATGCCTACTATTCTTTCAGTTAAATTCACTGACAAAAGGAAAAAACACGTCAAGCATGAAATATTCATGAAAATTGCACTAAGAATAGACATTGGCTAAGTAATTGCCAATTAAATTCCTCTGTCAACAAACAGAAAGGTACTTCATTCCAGTTAATTAGATCGATTCAATAAATTCTGATCTCATGAATTCTAACAATCCTCCCCCCCCCTTCCACCACACCCAAAAAAGCTAATTTTAACTTAAAACTGTGCAACAGACTCCTTTATATGCCTTGCTTGAATAGACGCATTTAGAGAAAGTTGAAACCTTTTGAAGATACGATGAGGCAAGCAATTCAGCAACATATGATGGCCTGATTGGGCTGACAGCTTGAAACTGAGGTAATAGAAAGGTCTATAATGGTGCCATGACGCTAGACATTAGGAGGCCTGATTCATCTGTATGTTAACTTGGTGAAATATGCTGCTCCAGAGTTTAAATTTTAGTATTCGACATCCAGGTCATTAAAGTTGTTCATATTTGCGATCTCCAGAGCAGACTTAATGGAGTGATTACTAAATGCAATCTCGACTTACTTGCCAATTTTGATAGAAAATGTATAATACAGTTTTAAGACACCAGAACAAAGAGAATAAATGGGATTCAAAAAAAATATAGAATTTCCACAGAGCAACTCAGTTATGAAATCAAAATACTTTGCTACTTTATCCCTCTTTTTCTCCAAAACAAAAAGACTAAAATCCACTTCCGATAAACGAAAAAAAAGCGTTAAAAATGGCATAAAGTGCGAGTATTTTGCCTCCTCTTTCTCTATGTCTACCTCAATGCCATGCCTTCTCGGCGCATGAAAAGGAGGGCCGCAAGGAGGGGGGGGGGGAGGGAGAACAATGCGAGAATTGAATAAGACTCGATTGGTGAACCGGATCTAGAGCGATCTTGCTGTCTTCTAACTCTTAATTTTATTATATCGTTAACGTTAGGTTTATTATTCCACCTCTGTCTAAGTCGGCTACCTGATAACATCTTATTGTGCTCAAAGTACAATTCACTCCAAATTAACTCAATAGAAATATTCCGCTATTCTTCAGATGCTTAGTTTAATGCTGTGAACATATCAGTGAGGAGAAAAAAAACCAAATCGTGGAGAGTATTGAATCTATACCGGAAGGGCAATTACGTAGGACTCACTGACTACTTCAGTCTTACATGGATGCTTGCTCAGTATTCTTTGAGTAACGACTTCTCACAACAGAATTAAGCTGTAGCGCCAACCAAATGCACGCATTAAGTCCCCTTCTGACTTCTAACTTGAGCCATTGGCAAGTGAATTCTGCTCCTCCACCATGAGACCTCCGCGTCATCAACACGAAAGATTTCAACATGCCGAAATTCGTTGCCCCACTAATAACGAGCTCCCACATCCATAGTGGAAATTAATGAACATTAATAATAGGTTCAATCTTTTCCGCCCAATCGCAGCATACTTAAACAGCAGAGGTAGTTCTCAAATAATTCCATCTATCTATTTCGGAAGTTAAAACGTCTCGAACTCAACTTTCTTAGGTGAATGAGAAGTTGAAGTTAATGTATTATAAAAAGCATGATAAGTTGACTTACGGCAATGTAGATATTGCTGGAAGTGCTATTCCTGAGAGGTTCTTTGAGCATGGATCTCACTGGTATGGTTGGATGAATAGCGTCGAGGTGTCGACTGCCCAAGGTCACAAAAACACCTCCAGGAGTTGCCTCCAGTGAGGATATTGCCCCAAGACTATTGGAGTACTTGTGAGACTAGAGGAGAAAAGTAAGAGTCAGTAATTATACCAAGGAAGATGAACCCCCCCCCCCCATTCTCCATGAACATTTAATGCTCCACATTTCACTCTTCATTTAGGAGATGATATTCGCCTTCCCTTTTAATCCCCAGGATTAAGTCTTAATTAATTGCTTTATGAATTATTCAGCGTAAGTTATTCATATAAGTTATTTATGGACTTCCCTCAACTGGCTGAATTAATTCCCCATATTCCTATTCCACGCGTACACCTTTTCGATAAATATCTACAAGAGCGATATTGCACTTAATCTCCTTTAGAACAAGTAGAAAGAGGGATAGCAGGTTGCTGAGCTGGGCCACATGCATGTTTGAAGAAGGGAGATGTGGGAAGGGAAAGATCAGGTGGATCAATTGGGAATTGGAAGGGAAATGACCAAGCGCCAGCTCTAAGCAGAATTAGCATATATACTACTCTCGTTCGCCTAAGGAGCAATTAGTAAAAAGCTGTCTGGTAGTTATGCTAGCGCAGATATGTAACTAAGCATGCACGAATAGAGACACAAATGCACCTCTTAATCCCCATGTTGAATCAAGCATTCGATTAGACGATCACATATAATGGAACGAAGGACAGCACGGATTGTGCATGCAATTATTCAATTGAAAAGTAAGCACAGGGAATTCTGTAAATTCGAGTTCAGTGCCAAGACTGTTTTCCTGATATAACGAAATAAGAAAAGGGAATACAGGTATTAAATCTCTGGGGGATAAGAGAGGAAAACTGTTTCGAAGATTCGTTGCATACATTATAAACTACGTGGTAGTAATTAGCATTTATATATTCAAAACAATGTGTTCACTTATTCACGTGTGAAAATCAACCCGTTTCTTTGGATCAATTTACCTTCTTTAGAATACGTGCGTGCATTTATAAAACTCAAGTTACAGATCTGGTTTTACATGGGCAAGCTCAACTTTCCGTCACTGATAACAGTAGTGAATAGTAAAGCACAAAGACAAGGTTAATAAAGAATGTCGTTCAGGAATTAATTGATTTAGCACATGGCACAGCAGCCAATATTGCACGTTTGTTAAAAGTAGCGAGATCGATGTGGATTCTATGGTATCGATGGATGAACACATGGTTAATTCTGATCAAAGTGAGAAATGATAGAGCTTGAAGGTCATGTTATAGCGATTCTAGGAGGAAGAATAATGTAAGTTGAAAACGGTAGTTGGCTATTCTTCCCGTGTAGATTTGAATGATAATAGAGTAAGCCAAAAGCGTAATCGTTTATTCGTGCGTCACATCGATTCCTTTCCATGGGAAACAGGATGATTTTAATCCAAATGATTCCCCCCCCCTCATCGAGTTACTAACGTCATTTCTTATTTGAAGAACACAAAGTGCATTAAGCTTGAACATGTCTATAACTATATCAATCCATACTGACAGGACTACTTATTTTTTACTCTCAACACATCTAAGTATTTATCCAATTCTTTGGAATTCGGGATTACCAGCTTTTCAAACTGTGAGATCTCATACACTTGGCGGCGAGGTTAGTACTGGGACTAACATATCAACCACTTGAATCCACCTCTGAGGCCCATTCAAGATATAACAGCAAAAACTCCGTATTCGAGTCTTCATTTTCCTAACGAAGCAGATTTCCAGTACGATGTCCATTGAATTACACAAAGATCTCCATACGTTTAAACGAGCAAAAGAGTAGCAGGCATTCACTATCCCATATTCAACTGTAGAAAAGGCAAAGCGCAAATCAATCCACAGACTTTATAATGAAGCCCAGAGCGGCTTAAGTTTTCAGACCCAATTTAAACTCTTCTCAGATTTCACGTTTTCTAAACAAATGTGCTTATTTTGGAAAAATACGGTTTTCATTTCAATCATTGTGATAATAGAAGGAAACAAACCAATCAGAAAAATACATTATTGTTGATTTGTTATCCCATGAAGTGTCTGACACGACTTTAGTAATTAAGATTATTACCAAGATAAGAGAAAGTGCAAACCTTGAGATGCTTGAATACGGAACCCTGATCAGTAGAACGAGATGGAAAGGTACGAAAGACGTGAAGGCGATTATTTTCAGCGACCCACATTTCTTCATTGTCCATAAGAGAGATTTTTCGAGGGTAGGACCGGAACTAGAAACATGAACAAAAAGGTCATGTCATGGTAGGAAAGTAATGACATTTATCGTAGATGCATGTCACAGCGAAAGAACTTCAAAGTATGTTCGAATTACTGTGAGTTGGTTGAGCGATAGAGTGCAGGTGCACGAATATGTAAGGTAGAATTCTTGTTGGCTTAACTAATTTTTTTGGATCTAAAATCTGTGCTTAATAAATCATCCCATCGATAACGAAAACAAACGCAAAATCCTTGAAGAAAAAGATGTACCTAACCAGTTCAATTTTTCACTAAAGATTTCAAAATTACAGATAACAGCATAACCAAGAGAGAAATATGTTTTATTGAGAACAAAAGGATAAAAGAACGGAAATTCAAAACGAATAAAAATTTAAGTAAACAAACTAGAAAAACTATCTAATTTTTTTTGGGTAAAATTGATGAAGGCTTAAAATTTTCTTTCACGTGCATGCTGAGTAAAATAAAGCTGATTCCTACCAAAGAATGACTTGTACTATGATAAGTCGAATAGCTATGGAAACATGGAGATGACGGACGCTGCTAAGTGCGCAATCAACACCGTGTTAACAGACTGCATGAAAAGGGGACTTTCAATGTGGACAACGTGGTTGCTGTGGTTGGAGGAAAGCAACACAATCAAGCAATCTGATCTGACTGGACTCACTCAGCAGACTTCCCAGAAAATCTGCTTCAGTATTACAATTGAGCCATGTCACCACTGCCAATTGAATGTTTCGACCACTACTATGAAATGCCGAATCAACAAAGACCCATCACTACTACACGGCCTCACAACATCTGACAAAGACGAAGTAATCTCTAAGCAGTGAGACATCAGATGAGAAAATTATCGTCAAGATGAAAAGCACCACACGATTAATGGGAGTTGGCTTGGGTAGCATAGAGTCTAAAGGACGCATTAGAGGTAAGGTGCCCTCCGAGGGGCTTCGATCGAATTCACGCGCCTACGTGGCCTCACGTGCAGCGGTAGGATCTGCTACCTGGTCACTCCAGGAAAAGTCAGAAATGGTTTTGGAACAATTGGTACTACTACACCAATCTCTATGTAATGTTAGCCTTCGAACTACTCCCCCCTTCCACCCTCTCGGGTCCTAACCAAACAGACTATTAGGTGGGCAACTAAGTCATTGCCGTTTTTGTTGACAGATTCACTCTATACTTTCTTTTGTTTTGTTAACGTGGCCAGAGCATCTAACCTATATTTTTTTCTTACTGTATAAGCTTCTAGGTTAATTAGTAAAAAATTTTTTTGTTTAGTTCTTTAGTTTTGTTTTTATCCCAATTTAAAAATGGAAGAACAGGACGTGCACTTCCGACACATTTTATTGTATTACTTCCGAAAAGGCAAGAACGCATCGCAAGCACAAAAGAAGTTATGTGCCGCATATGGAGATGAAGCCGTGAGGAAGAAAGGCAGTGTCGAAATTGGTTTGAAAGATTTCGTTCCGGTGATTTTTCACTGAAAAATTCACAACGATCTGGACGCCCAGTCGAAGTGGATGAAACCCATATCAAGGCCATTATCGATTCAAATCGTCACAGCACAACACGAGATATTGCAGAGAAGCTCAATGTGTCGCATACATGCATTGAAAAAAAATTGACATAACCCTTGGTTATGTCAAGAAACTTGATTTATGGATCCCTCACCAGTTAAAGGAAATTCATTTGACGCAACGGATTAGCATCTGTGATTCGCCGCTACTGAAACGCAATGAGAATGATCCATTTCCGAGGAAGAACCTAGTTACTGGCGACGAAAAGTGGACAGTTTATAACAATGTTACTCGCAAGATATCATGGGTGAAGCAAGATCAACCAGCCCAAACAGTATCAAAAGCAGAGATTCACCAAAAAAAAAGATTATGCTGTCAGTCTGGTGGGGGGATCACAAAGGAATTTTGTATTTTGAATTCATGCCGCAGAACCAAACGATAAATTCAAATGTGTATGTTGAAGAACTCGAAAAACCGAAGGATGCAATTGAAGATAAGCGGCCGGCATTATCAAATCGGAAGGGTGTTATTTTCCATCATGATAACGCAAGGCCCCCCCCCCCACACATCTTTGGTTACTCGGCAAAAATGATTGGAACTGGGTTGGGATGTTTTGTCACACCCACCATATAGCCCTGACCTTGCGCCTTCGGATTACCATTTGTTTCGTTCCATGCAAAACTCTCTAAATGGTAAAATTTTTAACAACGCGGATGATGTCGGCTCACACCTAATTCAGTTTTTTAATAGCAAAGACCAGACATTTTACGAAGGGGGAATTTTTACTCTGCCAGAACGATGGAAAAAGGTCATCGACAAGAACGGCCAATATCTAATTGAATAAAGTTATATTTTTAAACAAAAATTCCGAATTTGCCTTCTTATTTGAAATCGGCAATGACTTAGTTGCCCACCTAATATTATGTGGAGAGGAAGGCTGTCGAGAAAGGCAAAAAATCGGTGTGCCAATACAGCAAAAGCCAAGTATTTGAGGGACAGAATGAAAAGAGGTTTTGATGACAATCTGAGAAAACGTGAAAAATCACCTTGTCTCAGGTTGCGGACCGATGCCGGTGTCGGATTGAGAGTGCAATGGTCATTTTGTATTAATAATACTGCCAAATTTTCCTAAGACAACCTGTACTTAGAATTGTTGAATATTTTCGGTTGGCGAAACGAATATTAAATTTACAAATTTCTATAAAGTCATATTATATTATATTTTATAACTTTTTTATAAAGATTGATATGAATTATGCTTCGGTATAATTATTTAGAATCGGACAGTAATAAGGAAACGCTACATAAACAGGAACATGTGTGTGTGTTTCCCCCCTATAGATTCTCAAGTTAGGTTGTCAGCTTGTAGATTGCGTAATTTGACTGAATGAAGCGAGGTCAGAGGTGGTTGCATGATGATGAAAGGGCAAAAATAAGCAGCCAAGAAAAGCCATGAATACATATTCAAAAAAATCGCTCATTTCCCCCAACTTTTGCCGCAACGTGAGAACGGCTTATCGATAAGGCAAAAATAGCTAGATGGAGCGAATGACGCAAAATGGGCTATTGAGGCAAAGAAAACAAAGTGAGCTAATAAATCCTCTGCGATTTTCATCCTCTCCTCTCTTCTTACGCTCGGGAATGAATCGTTTTTTTTGGCTTCTAAGAGATATCAAAATTACTAGTATTCGCTTACTGAAAGGAAAACTCAATAAAATACTAATCACAAGGGAAAATGTTTAAACAATCCATGTAATCGGTGTCTGGTTGATATTCAGCACAATAAGTGACATGAGTGAAAAGGAGCCACGAAGATAAACCTGAACGACCAATCAGAACGACTTTATTATTGAACCGCCCAAAACGAGTTTACCATTCATCAATAGCAGGCTCAGAAGATGAACCAACCATTGTCTGAACTTCTGCGCATACAATAAAGAAGCTCAAATGAGCACCTAACGACATATGAACTGCGTGGGACTTCATATATACCTATACTACTCTTCTTCCATCTTCCATCTACCTTCGGACACACTGGGATTCAGCTATATTGAGAGCTATTGAAAGTCTGAAGTTGGCTCATAAAGCATTAAAGGGAATATAAATTTGCAATTAAGTCTCACGAGACCTGTCCAGTACCACCAATCAGATTTAAAAACTTAATCGGTGATTAGTTCGCGTGTTACGGGGTGTGCGATAGACTTACCTCCACGTGGTGCACCCGGGCAACGTATTCTTATACGGCAAAAAAGTCTATAAACCAGCAGTTGACTTCAGACTTCAAACTACAATGATCCCATTGTATGTCTAATTCGATCACTTCCACCATACTTATCCTACCCTTTCTCTGCCTTTGTGTATGTCTGTCTCTTCTACATCTTTAAATCACTCTTCTGTCCCCCCTTTCCACTTTTTCTCACTTTGATGATCCTCCTTCCCCCTGTGAAGCCCGAAGTCAACTAAATGGCAAATGGTAAGTATCATATTGCCCGCCATTTGAAATAAATAAATAGTTCGCGTGTTACATCGCCTATAAGCATTGCTTTGAATTCTCAGTTTATATCTATAACACCTTTCTCTGTAAATGAAAGAGAAAATGGTTAGACCCCCTGCCCCCCCCCTGGAAACTACCGCCATCAATCATCCAAAATAGTCGTCTTTCGCCGGACTGGTCATTAGAATCAGAACAGAGGCAGCAGGTAAACGCAGTTGTGAAAACCATCTAGGTTTTCGTAATATAATATCTACTGAATGGAGTTTAAGAACAAAAGTTAGGATTTCAATGTTGACGTATATTTGATGATTATTAGACAAGAAAGATATTTTCATGACAAGAACACCGGAATTTCGGTCAAGCGAACTCGCTTGATGGGCATTCAGAAAGAAGTATATGGCTATAACGTGATTGAATAACCTTCTGTGTTCAGTAAATGCTGATAAGAAGGTCGTGGTTGTAAAATTTGCCTTAAATGTTACAAATAATTGACAGCACGCCTTTAAAAAGAAAGTAGGAAGCAACAGACCTTTACGAACGAGAAATGGCTACACGATTTAAGATAGAAAAAAGGCAAGTTCAGCTTTAAGAATAAATTGAAACAAAGGGTTCTGGGTCCTAATAGCTTTTCCACCTGAGTATTTCTCGTAACAACATAAGAACATCTCAGTGGAGTATAAAAATGTTTCCTGCGTTTTTATGTTCTTAGTTTTGTCATAAAAAAGGAATATAAGGGCTTATGGATTGTAAACACCACCCTCTAATTGCAGGCTCCAAACAACAGGCAATTATATTTACTTAACTTTGATTCATTGCAATAACTTTAGTGGTAATTATTAATTTTTCATGACTAAATCTAATGGAAGAAAAAACAGATCTACATCCTGAAGTCAATTCTATTGCTAAACAAATTCTGACCTACGAGGTGTCCTCTGGTAACACCATTTCCTGCATGACCCCTTCTGACATTTAGGTTATTTTGTGCATAATTGCATGCCCGGCACGTATAGGTTAATGTGCGCATCTATCAAGTCACAGATCACGAGATCGATAACCATTCGTTGATGTGGATAACCAACCATGATAGACTATTCCGGTTAACGGAAGGAGTCCTTCTCGGCAGAGCTACTCCACGACGTTCCCATTCTAATCAACCCAATTGTTTTAAGGCAATCTTCAATTCGCTTGGGATGTACTTTTATAGATAATTAATAATTCATTAGGAATAAGATAACCTGGGATGAATTTATTCAATAGACAATATGGCCCCTTAGAACTATAAGTATGAGTAATTAAAATATGGCTAATTTTAACTAATGTTAAATTGAAACACTGAAATCGCATTTAACGAAAGGAAATATAAATTGTTGTTCAAGATTCAGCTTTAGCACGGCCACCTAGGAAGAGCCCCATTTATTACCTCGACTTTTGCAATGAAGTGGCAGACAGTAAATGAAAAAAAAAATTAATTTAAAAAAAGAACCAAAACAACACCTATTTTAGAAAATACACGCCTTATTCTTCTAACTTTAACAATGACAATCGAAGCAAAACTGATTTCTTGGTAAAGTCACTCATCTTAGCGAAGGAAGACATTACGAACTTAACAATAAAAGCACAAACGGACGAAACATGCAAGATATGAGAGAACACAAACTGAAACCAGATAATGCCGGACTAAATCAATTGGAACCGTAAAATCAACCAAATTTCACAAAGGGATTTGTATTGTTTAATCGACTTGGGTTCAGGAATATTTGGCGATGATAGTGTTTTATAAAGAAGGAATCGACTTACAGCAGGTAACTTGTGTCGACGAAAAAAGCAATGTAAAATCAGACGACCTTTCCAAGAGACTTTATCTAGCCTTTATCGAAATACCCTTTTGAAGCACTCAGTTCAGTCTCCTCCCAACTACCCCCTCCCNCCCCCCCCCCCCCCCCCCCCCCCCCCCCCCCCCCCTCCTTCCCTCTCTCACTTAATTTATAATCAAAAGTTGGCTGCTTTTCTTGCATAGTATCAATACGTATTTCAAAACATGCGTCTAGCTCACTTTGGGTGCGAATTATTTTATTTGACGAGAGATGGATGATGTTTAGGAAAGCTGTAGAAATTGCCGATCTGATTAGGTGCTAGTTTAAAATTCACAAGTTTTGAAAATAACAAATTAGGTTTCTTGGTTTATAAAAGAGTTGAAGACCTCGGCTCAATTAAACAAATAAAGTTGTGCGTAGATGGCTTGCGAAAGTCGTGAATTAGCAATACTGATCCAGTTCTAGTGCAATAACCCTTACCAAACCACAAACAGTCTTATAAAAAATGTGTCTGGAAGAACGAAATAGCCAATAAAGGTCAAGGTTATTATGGAAATTAAGAAACAACCCCTCAACCGCCAAAGAGCACACAACAACAATCCCGTCTTCTCCTTAGCAGTAGCACCTATCATTAGCCTCAAGCACATGGATTTATACCAGGAGGCAGTAGAAAATCCCATGGTTGGTTGTTGTTACTATGGTCCTTGATGAGTGCTTACTCATTTACTAACAGATACACCTTAAGTTTTAAAGAGCCTTATTTAAAAATTGACCAAAGTCACAGACAGCTATATCTCAGATCCAGACGACTAATTCCCGCACAACCAGACAAAATAATTATTCAAAAAAGGAACTACGTTGAAATTTCTCCAAATTAGCAAAATAGAACTTGGCAGTAATAAAAACGTGGAACAAAAGAAGAATCTAGTCTAACGAGCTTACGATTGGGTAGGCTAAAATGAATAAGGCAAAAAAAAGAAAAAAAGTAAAATTAGGTTGGGCTCACATTTTGAAAGGAATGGATTTAAATAACTTTGAGTTGATTATTAATGAATTCGGAAATTCATTCAAGGTTCGCCCAATATTCTGGAAAGGGGAGATACGCTTTGAATTGCTTTCAACCTCTATATCCCCAGAAGATAGGTCAACTAAAGAATGTATTCTGAAAATCTATTGCCTTACAAAGTACTATTATCCTAGCATTATTCATCCACAATCAAATTTGCTCATAAACAGAAATTATTTGTTAAACAAAAAGCAGGAAAAAGTTAAATCATTTGGATGCTTTTGATTTTAACTCAGACAAATGTATAGCGAGATGATACTCAACTTAGATCTGCATTTTATGGAAATAAACAAGCAAACAAATCTAGTGATCAGATATTGGACTGCACCTTAGCGTATATTACAAATTTCTCAAGCTGAAATTGTCATCTATATTTTCTAAATTATTAAATGAAAATTCTCACGAACATTTGCCATTGTAAATCAGTCCGCTCTTACTGAGGCTGTATCACTCATGTTCTGGCAGAAGGCAACCTGAAATACACCTAATATGGGGCAATCGGTTCGTCTGAACTGAGTGACTAAGCTTTAGTGACCAATAAAATCCTTCAGTTAACAATCTCTCTCCAGATTTGTTTCGGAGTAAAAATCTTAAGGGTTTAGAAGGGCAATAGCTAAGCAAGAATTCTAAGGCCACTTTAATAACTTTCCACCGCATACACTAGAATTTATATGTAAGAAATCAGAATGGATAATTCATTTCTTTACCTTTTGTAGGTCTTAATTAGATATCCTCAATGACTTCTTGTTTTTATTATAGTGACAAGTCAGCCCTTGTTCCATGGCAATACTGCCGAAATATAATAAGTAGAGAGTTTATTACAAATTACCTTATGTCGTGCAAGGGGCTCATTAAAATTTCGGAGATCCCAGGCGGCTAAAATGCCATCTTTACCACCACTGTAGAAGGCAACATTCTGAGATGGAGGAGGTATATCCGTAGGAGTAGGGTCTGGTGTATCATTGAGACAAATTTCACCCATATTGGAGATCACTGAATTGGCATCACTGAAATCTAAACTGGAAGAAGAGTTGAAGAGATTCCCATCAGATAAAGAGCCGCTAGTGATTGTATAGGGAGATTTCAGACAGAGCACCGTACTTGTGTGGAAAGTGTTTGAAAGAGCAGCTGCAGTCGTCGTTGTCGTGGGAACACGATAATCGAAGACTTTTATTTCTTTATTCATCGTGCCGACAGCCACCAAATTAGGTTTAAGAAAGTCGGAACAAAGTACTGATGATGTCATTCTGGCAGAAGAGAATTAATGTCAAAGAAACATCAATTGGCGTTATATATATATTGATAAAATCGATAAAATTCAAAGAGATTTTAAGCGCTCATTGATGTTTTCCAATCAATTCCAAATGCCAATTGTCATGAAAGAGATTACAGGGAATAAATTTAGACGTGTTTCCATAAAACTTTGCCAGCTTGAAATAATTATTTAGCATTAGACTACTCCACGAGAATCACTATTCAGTAGAAAAGAATTTTTGGGGAACACTTTCGATAAACAATAGTTATAACCTTATTAGACTCCCAAAGTAGCCACGAAAATGAGATTTAATAACAACACGTAAAGTTATTCATCTTTGTGTAAAAGGGTTGAATGATCAAGTAATGAACACGTATGAATGCCAAGATTTTATTCATGAAAATTTATACTCCCAGACCTTAGCATGTGATTTAGCTTTTCAGTGTCAAATTACAATGCCTTATTTCATTAACGTAACTCCATTTAGTAAAATTACTTTTGGATATAACAGGAGAGCAGTAAGAGCGGAAAGATTTATTTATTTATTTCAAATGGCAGGCGTTTTGATAGTTATCATTAGCCATTTAGCTGACGAACGATTCTTGTCTAATAACCAACCTATACAAAAGATCTGAAGGTTAGGAGGGCCAAGAGTATGACCGAAGAGGTGCGGCGTTCAGTAGAATTACTCCACCATCATATCTGAGGAAAGGACTTCAAAATCAAATATAAGATGGGAAGCTGTTTAAACCACAAGTGTCTGTGGTAAATAAAGCTTAGCAGCAGAAAGACAAAAAAATATTACCTATATTTTGCCCAACTTTAAAGAGTTAAAACCAAG